CAAATAAACAGATAATTATGGACTATTTTGGTCTTTCTATGTACGAATAATAAATAAATTAATAAATGGTCTGGTTTAGACTGATCTTAAAAGTTTTAACAAGTAAAAAAAGCTGTAAGTTCGGCCGTGCTGAACTTTGCATACCCTCCACAATTTGCAACGAATTTGGCAATTTTCAAAAAATTAAATCCGTTAAAAATTCTGTTAAAATCTGTTCTGTTAAAAAATACCAAATGTAGCCGTAATATTAGGGTCTAAACGACAATATTTAAATGCGAAACTTAAAAAAAATCGGTGAATAATGTAGCTAAAATCATAAATATAGGGAGGTACTATTATATGGGGGCTATACCAAAATGTGGACCTGCAGACAATTTTCTGCCTTAGGCTGTAGTATCCATTACGAACTTAAAATACCAAATTTGAAACAATTCCGATGAATAATATCGCTAAAATCATCAATAAACCGAATATCGGGAGGTGCCGTTATATGGGGGCTATACGAAGACGTGGACCTGCACAGACAATTTTTTGTCTTAGGCTGTAGTATCCATTACGAACTTCAAATACCAAATTCCGGTGAATAATGTCGCTAAAATCGACAAAGTACCGAATATCGGGAGGTACTATTATATGGGGGCTATATCAAAACGTGGACCTACATGGCCCATTTTCAATACCAAGTCCTGCAGACATAATATACATTTGAGTAAAATTATATGATTCTATTTCATTGTGTTCGGAAGCTAGAGTTATTTCCACAGACGGACATCGCCAAATCGACATAGAATTTTGTGCTGATCAAGAATATATTTACACTTTGTGGGGTCTAAAATGTATATTTTGAGGTGTTACAAACGGAATGACATACTTAATATACCCTCCATACAATGGTGGAGGGTATAATTAAAGGCCATATTTGAGTTAGGCAATACTATTTTACAGTTCAGTAAACCAGTTCCTAAACGTATGAGTAATTTCATCAATTTCATATACATTCACATCACTCATACGCAGAGTTCTCACACAGAAGACCGGAGTCCACGAAGCTAGATAAGAAACTAGTTCGTTCGATCGCTCTAGAATTGACCACAACTGTAGTCCCTATTTATTATTCAACAGGTAGTATGGAAAATATATTTTAAAATTATTATAGCATACTTTTAGGCAGGGAATTATTCTATAAAGTTTATTAATAAGAAAAACATAATTCAGTGAACCGGTTGAGCTCTGATAGAGCAAAACGTCGATTTGAAATCTTGTTCAGTATCTTCTCCTGTGCTATATTAAAGTTCGTTCGCATTTGTTTCTAATTATATTTTATTTGGTTTAGAGCCTAAAATCAAGTGATACTGACATATGCCAGACTAACCAAAAAAAAACGAACTCATTGGAAATGTTCTGCAAAGGTTTTTGACAAATATACATAATAACGTATTACCCAACAAAAAAGGTTGTTTAATTTGTTATAATGTATAAAGGTTCAAACCTACTTGTTTAATTACACATTTGATTTAATTTGCTAACATAAGAGCATATATATGGCCAATTAATTTGTTTATAGTAAAACACACTCTTATAATGTCGTCATATCTCAGGAAACATGTGACCATAGCAATGTTAGAATTGGTGTACTTCACATTAGTAACAATGACGAATCAGTGATCTAGTTGAATAAAATTGCGTTTTACTATCTTTACAATTACCCTTTGAAATTTTGTCTTTTGATTACACTTAATGTTTTTCCCCCAATTGATTACATGGTTCTTATCGCAATGTGTAGATATTGTATTAAATGTTTCGTTTATTTCATAAAAAATGGAATAAAAATTTTTACTTTAATTTGAGCAAGGAAAATTTGAGGTGTACAACATTTATAAGGGTAACTATAACATTCCAAATGGTTGGAAACACTAGTGGAGAGATGCATTCACATTAAATGTGGGTAAAATTCAATACACAAAAAAATGGGGAATTGTGTTTGGATCCTAAAGATTAATGATCAACAGATATCCTACTTTAGCACTATTAAAGGGTGAAATGAAAAAACTGCAACCAACTTCAGACTGCTGTCATTTCTAATCCACTCGTCCGACAGCTGTTAAAATTATTCCAGTAACAGCACATTATATTGTTTACAAGCGTACAAAAGTATTTTGTTGAGAATTTTCCAGAAAAAGTTATTCGTGATGGAATTCAAGCGTGATAGTGTGATTTCTTTATATTTGGCTGGGAAACCACAAGTGGCTATCGTTGAAGCATTCCAGCATTTAAATGTGAATAAATATTTTGTGTCTCGTATCGTGATACTGGTAGCGTAGCTCGACGTCAAGGAAGTGGACGGAAGAAAACAGCAACATAAGCAGAAATGGTTTGAAAAGTAAAGAAGCTACTTGATCAAAACCCACGTCGCAGTTGAAAAAGTAAAAAAAATGAGCTGGGGGTAAAGCCATTGAAATTCCAAAAAGTGCAAGAACTTACACCGCTACAGAAAGAAAATAGACTCAAAAGAGCTAAAGAGTTACTTCGCTTGGCCGAAAGTGGTGCACTGCCGAATTTGATTTTCTGCGATGAGAATACATTCGATCTCCAGCAGTTTGTAAACAAACAAAATGATCGTGTTTACTTGGCCAAAGAGGTCAGCTGAAAATGTGCACATTCGGTTGGCCACCAGAAATCAAGCGCCGGACATGGTGATAGTGTGGGCCACCATAACAGCCGATGGTCGCTCTCCGCTCGTATTAATCGACCGTGGCATCAGAATAAATGCCGAAAATTATCGCGAAAATATTCTGGAGGGTTTATTAAAGCCTTGGGCACGCAATCATTTTGGCCGCAAACCTTGGACATTCCAACCGAACTCAGCACGCGCCACCCAAGAATGTTTACAAAATGAGGTATCTCGCTTCATTTCCAGCGCACAATGGCCACCAAAATTTCCGGATACCAATCCGTTCGACTATTGTGTCGGAAGTATTTTGGAAAGCAAGGTTGGCACTAAAAAATACCAAAGTATCGATCACCTCAAGCAAGCGCTTCGCCGGCAATGGGCCAAAATACAACAGAGCAATGTCCGGGCAGCGTGTGACGGAGATCAATTCGAACAAATCTAAACTTATTCTAAAATTTGATGCTATTTCCGACATTTTTGCTTTCATTCAATAAAATTAAAAAAAAGTAAAAATTATGGCGTCTGACTTTGTTGCTGTTTTTTTTATCTCACTCTGTTTACTGGGACTCACTTACATCGCATCCCATTGAAATACAATTGCGGCGCCTTTTAATTAAATTAAATCTATAAGGCAGAAAGATCAAGCTTCTCAGTTTCGTGATAGCCTAAGCTCTTTTCTAAGGAATAGGTAAAAAACAAAGCTTTAAGAATTGTAGCAAGATATTTTTTCTACTTTAACCATTTAAATAATTAAAGGTAGAGTCGTTACAGCAATTGCTACGGTTAAGGTTGACTATATTTCCTGTTGGTAGAAGTAACACTCATCCCTTGGAATATAAAGCAATACGTCAGTCAAGATATGCAAAGTGTTACTTAGACATAACAGATTGAATACAGTTCTTCAATAAGATCCAATCCTGTCCATTGGTTGCGCATTGAAGATATATCAGTTCAGCGCATCTTAGATGACTACGCACTACACTGCATTAATTTGTAATTGCCATGACAAGTTTACACCACTCATTCTTGAAGATCTGGCAGTATGTACTTGTAGCAGTATGTAGAAGTAGCTCCTTTTTAAAATCAAAACAGAATACAGAAAGTTTATATTTTCAGATGAAATTGCAAAATTATAAATTCGGGTATAGGGGCCCTAAACGTATTAATTTTGTTTCAGTTGGAACCACATACCGGTAGAATAGGGCCTAATAGGTGAAGCAAAAAGCTGGTGTAACTTTTCAAAGTGACGCCACAAGTGCTAATGACTTTTCTGCATCCCGAGTTATTGGTTTTTCAATTTATTAACTTGAAAGTCAAAGCTATCCATTCCAGCCCCGCTGAGTTAATTTATGTTTATATAGTTTATACTAGATTCGAATACCCCTTGTTCCATTTTGTTGAAAAAAGTTGTTGAAATTTAATCTAGGGCTAGATCCAGTCCTAATCGACATTTCCTAATACAGTTTTTGACACAAAATTTTGATGTGCATATCGTAGGTGGTATGGATTTCCAAAGAAAACCCATTTTGTCAATTTCGAATCGATTTCTATTAATTTATCTTTTTTACTCCCAATATCCCTACATTCTTATCCTTTCCGGTGTGGTATCGTGCAGGAAATATCAGCATTTTCACATCAAAACTAAATTGATATGCTTACATTGTTTGGTTCATTTAGGGGCTGTGGTTCTTGGGTATGTATGTAGCATTGATTATATATGTAATGTTATCAAACAATATTCGTATATGTACAACTCGTAACACTGTACTTGAATCGACGACCTTGAACTATGCACATGTAATTGATGTACCCTAATTATTGTTTATTCTTTTAATGCCTCTCTACATTTTCAATATGTAAATATTTTCATTATGTTTAATACTTTATAAATTTCCACAAACATACACGCACATTCCCTTTTCTCCACCTTTTTTTGGAAGCAATCCATTTTTCCCCGGACTGCCTGCTACCGGCCGGCCGGCAAACAACAGACAGCAGTAGTTTGCGTGGTGGTGGTAGTAAAGTGATATAGAGAAGACATATTAATGACGCTTTTTTTCTGTCGCCGCTGGTGTTTTTGTTGTTGTTGCTGCTGCTCTAGAGTACATTGTACAGGCATGTGTTTTAAATAATGGTACACACAAAAAAGTATTATATACTTTAACAAAAAACACGTCTAAATGGTACTAACACAAAAACAAAAGCAAAATAATACATATCAGCTTCTAACAACCAGTGAATTAACCTAACTCTGATTTCAAACATCTCTTGAAGGTTATAATCGAAAACGTTTCCGCGACGACATGAAATGCTTTTAAGTCTAGCTTACCTCGACAACATTGAATTCACCCTCTTTGGCTTCAGCACCCAAAAGAATTTGTCTGACAATTAATTTTTGGCCGCGGGGGAAATCTATATCGTTGGACAAAACTTCCCATTCAACTTTGCTGCCTTCGCCGCTCAATGTAACACCTGGAAAAAAAGATAGCTTTAAATACTGCACTCATATGAAAAAAATAAAGTATCCAAAAATGACATCAAGTTTTGAAAATTGCATTTTCGCGACAAACCAACCGCCATTTTTTGCACGCTCTATAACTTGTGCAATTTGTCGTCATTTTAATCCAATACATATGCCATTTTATTGGGCAACATCTTTTTTGAAATATTTACCATAGAATGATTCGTCAGACATTGTGATTCTGTGGATTCTTTTGGATTAGTTTATTATGTAGCTGGGTATTCACGCGTCACTCGCTCGTGTTTTTGCACAGAAAAACCGAAATTCTTTCTTTTTTGTTTAAAGAGACAGCAAGAAGAAGCCGGCGTAGTGGTGACAAACAATCGATGATGCTATCGTAATAATCGATATTTTATCTCCAGTGTCAATATCAATTGACAGTTTTTTGCCAATCGAATAACACCGTATATTTTGTAATACCATGTTCTCATTGACATGTGAATGCGATCGTAGTAGCATACATGACACAATTAAAGAAGGTAAAACAAAGTTATCCCCTTAATACAATTTTTTTCTTTTGCTTCCCTTATTCTGTCAAAACATATACACATTTTGTGTATGTATGTGTATTGTTTTGTGATAAATTATTTCAAATTCGGTTGCAAAACAAATGCATATTTTCGACGGCAATAAGCAACACATTGTACGATTTGGATATAAAATTGTATTGTCCTAATATTTTAGATTCAATATTGTGGAATAACCCCAACATTCCATTCTACTTTCGTAGATTTTCCCCAATATATGAATTTTGTTAAAAAAAAATAAACAAAACCAACTGTTGCATATTTAAAAGTCTATTTGACACCATAAGACTCCAGCACAGAGTTGCATTTTTCTCATACTCATTTTTCTTCATACTTAAATTAAACTTGTAATAATGAAAAAGATTTATGTGTCCGACAACATCATTTTTTATGTTGTCGGACACATTTTTTATGTTGTAGGACATGTTGTCGGACATGTAGAGTGGCACGTACATGGTCAAAATGCATGACATCGAAATCATGCACTTTTGCATGAAGCCTTCAGCGCACATGGTATATGCATTCATTTTGCTTTTTACTTCGTGCTGTGACATCCCAAAGTGCTGGCAACGACTCGTAAACTTCCAACAACTCAAAAACATATTTTTTTCAGTATCCGACATCTGTATGCACCGTTTCACTTTGAAAAAAAAAAAAACGTCGCACTCCACCACAAACACGTCAAAATCGAAGGTCATGCACGCAAAAAATCAAAAACTTTTGATTTGGCTACATGCATTGTATGTGTGACGCATACATACAAATTTTCACTAACACCACATAATTGCATGCCATGAATTTTAATCGTTTACGGGGCACTTAAAAACGCATTTCATTTAGGTTGCTATTTCGATTTGTTTTTTCTTTCGGAGTAACACAAAGAGTTTTAGTTATATGGCAACATTGCTTTAGCTGGATTGTTGAAGAGAGACACAACTCATTCGGGCGGCACGTGTAGAAAAGTTTTGTGAATAGCTAGTACAAAATATACTAAATTAATTATATTTTTCAAATATCTCACTATTTCCAAATAAATAGACAGTAAAATGGAAACAGAATCTTTCTACGGTAAGTAAATGCAAAGTTTAAATGAATTACTTCGGTGTATGGATATTTTTTTTTTTGCAAAATTGATGGTATGGTACAGTTGTCGTTAAATCTCTAATCAAACATGTCTGAGTCGACGACCGACCAATAATCGAGTTTGTCTTTTAAAGCCGGCATGGTGCATTGTTTCGTAAAAAAGACAATAACCTTGTGGATTATTAATAGTAATTAACGCTCGTTTATTTTTGCAGGTGTTGAATTGAGCGAAAAAGATCCCTTGGCCCAGTTTGAAGTGGCCGAAACTGATAAGGGTCTACAGGATCAGAAACTGATTATTAAACAAATAAGTCTTGGCGCCGAAGCCAAGGATGAATTCAATGTTGTACAGGTAAGCAAAGAACTGTTTGACACACACATGGCGGGATTTAATCAAAATTAACTATGATTATTTTAAAGGCTGAAGTTAAAATCAATGAAAAGGAAACCCTGAAAATTCCCATTGCTGTCTTGAAGGCTGGTGAGACGCGTGTTCTCAAGCCCAACTTGGAATTCCCCAGTGATTCGGTCACTTTCAAACTGACACAAGGCACTGGACCTGTCTACATTTGTGGGCAACATTTAGTCCACGACATTGTCGACGAATGGGGCAATGCCGAAGAAGAAGATCTTGAAGAAGAGGAAGAGGACGATGAAGATGATGCTCCACCACCACAACAGAATGGCAAAAATAGCAAAAAGAAGTAAAATTTGACACAAGACAATTTACCTATAAGAGGACAAAAAACAAAAACAGATATACATCAAAGATAATTCCTTTATACTTCTTGGGAGGAGCACACACACAAACTTTTTAATACCTTTTTCGTTTGATAAACAAAAATAACGAAATATCCATTTTTTCTTTCTTTTATAGCACACAAACACTGTATGTACACTCTACTATATAAGTTTATAAGTATGTAATTAAAATAAAAATAATTACTTAAAAAATGATAAAATAATAAAACACAAGGAAAATTGAAGAATTGTTTTGGTGATTATTTGGAATTAATCTGTACATAAATTGGTTTGTGGCTATAAGCTATATCACTATAAAATTGCCCAATTTCAAATTGCTATGGAAATCTAAATCATGATGATTAGCAAGTCGATATTCTTTTGTAAAACGAAGACGCGACTATATATACGGGGTGAGATGACAAAATTGCAACTAACTGCAGACTGCTGTAATTTTAAGCCACTCGTCCGACAGCTGTTAAAATAATTCCAGTGGCAGCTTATTATATTTACAAGCGTACAAAAGCATTTTGGTGTGAAATTTCCAGAAAAAAAGTTATGCGTGATGGAATTCAAGCGTGATAGTGTGATTTCTTTATATTTGTGTGGAAAACCCCAAGTGGCTATCGTTAGAGCACTCCAGCATTTAAATGTGAATAAATCTTTTGTGTCTCGTACCATCGCTCGTTACCGTTATACTGATACTGGTAGCGTAGCCCGACATCAAGGCAGTTGACGGAAGAAAACAACAACATCAACAGAAATGGTTCGAAAAGTAAAGAAGCGACTTGATCGAAACCCGCGTCGCAGTGGCCGAATAATGGCTCGTGAGCTGAACATATCGCAATATTCTATTCGGAATGAGCTCGGGGTAAAGGCGTTAAAATTCCAGAAAGTGCAAGAACTCACACCGGAGCAGAAAGAAAATAGACTAAAAAGAGCTAAAGAGTTGCTTTGCTTGGTTCAAGCGGTTAACTGCCGAATTTGGTTTTCTCCGATGAGAAAACATTCGTTGTCCACCAGTTTGTAAACAAACAAAATGATCGTGTTTACTTGTGAAAGAGGTCAGCTGAAAATGTGCACCTTCGGTTGGCCACCATAACTCAAGCGCCGGCCATGGTGATGGTGTGGACCACCATAACAGCCGATGGTTGCTCTCCGCTCGTATTAATCGACCGTTGTATCAGAATAAATGCCGCAGGGCAACATTCGGGCAGCGTGTGACGGTTTCATAATTCATACCAAAGGTGACCAATTCGAACAAATCTAAACTTATTTTAAAATTTGATGCTACTTCCGACATTTTTTGCTTTCATTCAATAAAATTTAAAAAAAAATAAAAATATGGCGTTTGACTTTGTTGCAGTTTTTATTATCTCACCCTGTATATATACCAAGGTGACAACCGTTTGCCGAAACTACCTTTATTTATTTGGATTTATGGATTTATTCAATATCATCGAATGCCCCACCTGGCCAAACTAGGCTTCTTTTGTCCAAATACATTCTAGTTCATCCTACGGATTTTTGACCATCTTAAATGCATGGATTCCAAGGAATATTAGATTGAATATATTCATAAATGTAAATATGATCGGAAGTTTCCCATCATTTTTCAGTTGGATTCCGATGAAGCGTTTCGACACACGTGTCTCACATTTTTAGCTCTACTTTCACGATCTTCTGCCTTTTTTGTAATTTGAGAAAAAAATGCATTTTGCCGCACAGTGCCGTAATGCCTATCATGATCTAATCCGCTTCGCTTATTCAATACAATTTATTTGACAACAAATATTCAAAAGTCTAACCATCATTGTACCTTATGGGGACAAATTTTATAGTTAAATCTTTCAAGATCCAAATTTAAAATGTTTTGACCAAATCGCTTTTTATTTCAGGGTATGTGCTATATATCTGTGTTTTTAATTACTATTATCTTAATAATACAAATGCATTATCGAATTTTAAACTACGCCTCTAAAATTATTCTCCACAATCCTAAAAAAAATACATCTCATTTTGTGCATTCAAATTTACATTCGTGCCATTGACATCTTTTGTCGCGGTACCCTAGAAAATAAATAAATACAATATTATTTTATTCAAATCCGAAAAATACGATTATGTTAAAAAATTACTGACTTTTACCTTATATGTATGACACGTCGTCTATCACCTGGATGTATTAGATCATTCTTTTGACTCCATTCGATTTGTTTCAATTCATGTCGTAATTTTTTACGATCGAAATAGGATATGACACAGCTGGCTGGTATCCAAAAGATGGAGGTGAACACAACAACAGCCACTAGAGTTAGGCAAAATTATTGACGGATAAGAACAAGATTAGTAAATGAAAATTGCAATCGCATGGTGTAATGAATACTTACTGACAATGTTATCCTTTAAAAATCTCAGTACACGGTTGATATTGATTTCTTCAATGATATCCCAAAACCGTTCCACAACATCTTGTATGGTTTTCTCGCAAACACCCTGTAAAGTTGTGTAAGTTAGATTTAATTGTAGATTCCCCTAATTTACTAAAGTTTTAACCTACCTTATTACAAAAACCTTGAATACATGGAGTACCATCCGGTAGGACATCCGGTGGCTCAACCGGGAAACAAGTTTCATTTATACTCATACGACAACATCTATGGAAATTTTAAAAAGTTTGCAATATTAAAATTTGAATTTGATGTAGCAAAATGTTCCATTTTATCATGAAGGTTTCAGCAAATGGGAAAAACTTAAACTTTGTACAATGCATTGTTCCAATCTTACCTTTTACATGCATCTTGTATTATATCACACATGCAACTCTGCAAACCCTGCGTCTCACAGTATGGAACTAAGAAGGGAAATAATTAAAAATGATTCAAGAGCACACCTTTTTCCCAAACAAACTTACTGCACTTGCCGCTGCGACACTGGCCACGCTCTTGACACATCGTGCCATCATCCA